GTATTGCTCGCAGCCACTGTTTTAACAACCCATCGTCTTTTGGGAAACTGAACACACTCACTGTTGATTCGCCACTATAATTTCCTTTGCACTTGGGTCACAACACTTATAAGGCATTTTTACAATATTTATTTTAAAAACACAGATATAAAACACTCAAAACACACTTGGGAGCTTAATTTTAGAGCCTGTTTATGTTTTGAAAAAATCAACAAAGTGGTAAACACGGTTATTTCATTGTAATTTGTCGAAGAATCGTCGAGTGTCGACTATACAGAGTTTAAATTTTACATAAAGTTTTGTTGGGCCACCCTGTACATTTCAATAATCTTGTAGAACACTGTTCTTATTAATTTTCTCTGTAAGGTTTTACGTGACTCCCTCGCAACGATCACTTGTGACGTGTTATTTATAAATATTTGGCGGGTTTTAATCGACAACATTCTTGCCATTGACAAATACATTTTTATCCCAAAGCCTTCGTTTTCCTCTGCCCCGTTTTCTTGCTGTTTTAAGACCCCAACAGCCAAAAGATGCTAACGTGGGCTTCTGTTTCTAGTGATTGCCACTGAAGATGGCCGGTTTTTGTGCCGAAAGTGCGGCAAAAAATACGCAAGCAAACAGCTGGTCCTGAGCCATGTCCTGTTCGAGTGTGGCGTCCAGCCGATCATTCAGTGCCATCTCTGCCCGAGAAAGTGCAGGAAAAAAGACGTGCTGGAAATGCACCTGAAGAACATCCACGGCATTCACTTTTAAATGTCCCTAATCCACAGTATCTAGTTTTTTATTGGTTTCAAGTGGCAAACAAGGTCTGATTTTTACTAATTTGATGTTAGTTGTAACGTTTTACCCAATATATGTGTGCTATTGCTGCAATGGATTCGTTGACATTTTTTTTCAGGACATACCAAGGTGTTTCCAGGTAAGTATCCAGATGATTTGATTCATATTTTGTTGGGTAGTGGCTTGCTTTGATTTATCCTAGCTGTTTGTTTGGTAGGCAAATTCAGCTGCGTGAAATGCACCAAAGTCTACACGCAGCAACGGAACCTGACCAGACACTTGAACTTTGAATGCGGTAAAGCGCCCAGGTTCCAATGTCCTCATTGCTGCTACGCCTGTTACAGAAACAACGCTATGGTGCTACATTGCGCCAGAAAACATCCACATCAATAAACGAAATCTTCCAGTTTGCTTAGTTTACGTCTCCAACCATCCATCAGTCCTTGATCGGGGCCTAAGACTGTCCAAATACTGATAACTCTGTTTTTCAGATTGCAGTCAGTTCATGTGCCAGGTATGCGGCAAACAGTTCAAGCACAAAACCCACATGTATAGACATCTAAAGCAGTGCAGAAACTCCAGCGATATCCTCTCGTG